TCTTTAAAATTTGGTGAATAATTGGTGACTACACCTCTCAGTAATTCTTTGAGATGCTGGTTAGTTAATACTGATCGGTGTTTGAATTTCACGAATTATAAAGTGGAATAAAATGTTTCACATAAGTACGTTGTTCCGAATATTGAAATAATTTGACATGCAGCCTTTTTTAATTCAGGATACTTCGATTCTGGTACAAATTTCCAAAATTCAGTAATCGACGTCGACTTATGTCATTTGGAAGTAGTCCTTTAATTCTTTAAGGAAATTTTTTTCGATGATTTTTTGCATTGGTGCGAATGTAATTTACAACGTGTAACACTGTTTTCATAGCATTAGGATATTTTGAATATTTTGTAACGAGATGTTCTCGTTGAATAATGCAGTGAATCGGTATGAATTGTGGAATTTGATAATCATCTCTTCAAATCCCAATAAGACCGATTTTTTTCACCCAGCATTGCCGGAGCTCCATCAGTTGCAATGCTCACAAGTTTATTAAGAAGCACATAAAAAGTTTTTCATTATGGAATCTAATGCATTTTTAATGTGGACACCGCGGGTTGACTTTTGAAGTGTAACTAAATCTAATAATTCATCTTAAACAACGGAATCAGGTGAAACAAAACGTATGAAAACTACAAATTGCGGAAGATTTGTGACATCTGTCGATTCGTCAAGGAACGATAAAAATTTTTTTTAAAAATATAATAGCAGAAAAATGAAAAAAGAACTCGGGTACATTTATCGAGAGCCACAAATAATCCTTCAAAGAGCCGCATGTGGCTCGCGAGCCGTAAGTTGGCCACCCCTGATATATACAATATATATGTTACCGGCAAAGTATGAAATCCGGCATTGCATAGAATGTCTAGGCATTGTATAGAATGCCTAAAATTAGTCGGCAAAGTATGAAATACGTCTCCGATTCGTTTCAAATATCACATGGCAAGGCTCGTGACTTTTAACGCGAGACTTTTAATGCGTGGTTCGTGATTTTTGACTAATAACAAAAATTATTTTTTTACTGTGCTACATGGAAATGTAGGAATTTAATGAAATTTACATGGAAAAATTTAATGAAATGTAATTCAAAATGTCATTCAAGCCTGTCATGTTGCAACAAGTAGGTTAATTTCATATTTTTTAAAAGAAAATTTTGTTTCCCTTAATAAGAAAGGCTTGAATTTTGTTTTGCATAACTTTCTAATTTTCTTTCCACATTTTGAATAAATGTTTTTCAATGGCACTCTCAGTATTTTTTCAGAATAACATTTTTATTTTTGTGAAATGCATGTTGCTGTAAATGACCGAAATCGGTAGTTTTACATTTATTCGATATTTTAATACTTACTGACGATAGATAAGAAGAAACATCAGTGTAGGATATACCAGGAAATGCCACTTAACTAGAACTATTGAGTTGATGCATAAGTTCTCGCGTTTTTTTTTTGTAATAATTTTTGTTATAACTTTATTTTTTCATATAAAATATCAAGAATTTAATCTAGAAAATACTCTCTGTTTTTTTTTTTTTTTTTTTTTTAACGACTTCCAGTGTTCAACGAGTTTTTCGATGCCACTTCGATAGAAATTACCCGGAAGCGTCTCGAAAAGGTCGTCCAAACAAGCTCGTAATTCGACATCATTATTGAACGAAACGCCGCGTAAAGCATTTGAAATTGCACGGCACAACTCTCCCGAGCAGCTTCTGTAGCTTTGGCACCTCGATTTAATGCAAAAAAAAGCTGGTGTCGGAAACGCTCGTTTTTGTCGACTTGACACTCCATTTAAATGGTCTAATAAATAACAAAAATTAAAGTCAACAAAAAAGTGAAACACACTATTTTATAGAGCAAAAAATTCTCTTTCGAATAACATAAAAGATTATGCCAAAACATTTCATTTTCGACGCAAATTTTAAACATTTAAAAAAAACGCGGGAACTTATGAATCAACCCAATAGTATGACTGGACCTTTGGTAAATGTCCGAAACATATACTAGGTCTAGTTAAGCGCCATTGCCCGGTATACATTTGCCCGGTATACGTTACACTGATGTTTTTTTAAGGTCAAATGCAATTGCCCGGTATACATTTGCCCGGTTTACCTTACACTGATGTTTTTTTAAGGTTAAGTGCCACTGCCCGGTCTACCCTACACTGATGTTTTTTTAAGGTCAACGGTTACTGCCCGGTATACATTTGCCCGATACTCCAAACACTGATGTTTCTTCTAATCTATCGTCAGTAAGTACTAAAATATCAAATAAATGTAATCGCGAAAAAATTAATATCAAATCGGATGTAATAAATATTTCGGACATTCACCAAAGCGACTATGTGATTGTTAACATTCAACGGTGAAAGTCAACAATCACCGATTTCGCACATTCACAGTAACATGCACACAATTTACATAATAACCTCATCAGGACGTTTATTTCATACTTTGCCTAAATATCATCCGGCATTGTATAGAATGCCTAGGCATTCTATGCAATGCCTTGGCAAAGTATGTAATACTTCTCACATTCCATACTTTGCCTAAAAACGTCTGGCATTCTACACATTGCTTAGTCATTCTATACAATGCCGGCGTTTCATACTTTCGCGGTAACATATATATACAAAACAAAACAAATAAAAAAATTTAAATGCAACCACCATAGGTGAAAATTGTGGTATTATTGATAACTAAATAGTACCAGTAATTATTCAAAATAATACAAACAAAATATAGTTTTTGCATTTCTACTAATTTTAATTATTAAAGCAAAACATTAAAAAATTTTTTTTTTAATAAACTGAAACTTATTCAATTGAAATAAGTTTTCAGTAATAGTTTTCAATAATTTTAATAAGTTTTCAATAATTATTTGTAAAAATAATTTTTTAAAAAAAGTTGTAAATTTAAATGTTTTTCAATGCATTTTTGAAATACTTTTTACTTTATATTTGAATATTTTTTGAAAAATCATTTAGTAATTAAAATTTATCTTTCGTTTCATCTAAACGTTGTTACCATAAGCTAATTAGAGCAACTGTGTGAAAATCAAAAAGTGAGTCATAATCAGCTAATACAGTCTTCAATAAGAAATTGATTCAAAACAAAATTCATTCAAAAGCAAATTGCCCTTTCAGTTTTAAAAAAATATGAAAAACAATGTAAAAAAACAAATGAAAATATTTGCCATTTAAATTATAAATAAAGAAATTCACAGAAAAAAGATTAAAAAAAAATTAAGATATTTTTAAAATTACGTTATACTCGTATTATATTAGCTACATAAATTTTCTTCGACGTTGTTTTAAAAGTGAAAAGTATTCTGGCAGCTTATCAAGCTTAATGACGCCCGGTGGCTTAGTGGAAGCGCTTCGCGCTCCCATGCCACAGGTCCTGGGTTCGGGCCGGGCAAGGTCAACTCAGCCTTTCCTCCCTTCAGTGGGTCGATAAATGAGTACCAAGCATGCTTGGGAACTAAACACTGGGGGTTCCGCGTTCGGGTGACCACCTGACCGGAACATCTGCTCTTGCACCCGAGAGCCCAAGGTCAAGAAAACTGAGATGGGCACAGTAGGCCGCTGAGTTTAGAGTTTATCAAGCTTAATATTGTCAACAATATCATTTTTTGCTTTGAGTAAAAACAGTGAATTTAGGCTTTCAGTGGTCATTGTTGTTCGAAGCTAGTTTTTAATTAATTTCATCTTGCTGAAAATTCTTTCATTTGTCGCAACTGTTATTGGCGCAGTTAACGCTAATAGATTTAACAATAAAAATTTATGAAAGCATTTATGCTAAAATTATTCTGCATTGTTAATACAAAGCTGTGAATTAAATTTTTACATACTTACAAAATTATAAGTTTTTTTTACTAATAATTAACTTAAACAAATGAAAAACTGTTAACTTTAGTCAAAAAGATAACATAAAAGCATTAAATACATAAGAAATACAACAAAACAGCTAAAAAGAATTATCTATCAAAAGAAAAAAAACTTTTCTATTTTTAAACACATTACATTTTCAATAAAATAAGCATTAGTACACTTTTGTTTATAAAGGATTGCAGTTTGGATTTATAAAAACAAAGCCTACGAACAAATATATAATATTTGAAATTTCAATTAAATAAGATCTATAAAAAAACAATTTCAACTGAAAAAATCTAAAAATAATAATAATAATAATACGTCAAACACAAAATAAAAAGCTTAGTAAAAAGAAAAAAACAGAAAAAGAATTCCAATTTTCGGAATTCAAATGTGATTTATCTTTATCTATCCCTAGCTTCTACTAATGAATATAAATTACATAACACTTTTAATTGCTATTTTTTTTCTTTCTTTTAATCATTTTACTGCACAAAAGAGATTAAAAAAATAATTTTATCTGCTTCATAAAAATCAATTTTTACCCATATATATATTTGTNATATATATATATTTAAAAAAAATTCTTTTTTGTGAAAGTCTTATACTTAAATTTTTAAGCAATAATTGAGGAAATATTTTAATTGGAAAATAATAACACATTTAATGCAATTTAATTAAACTTTATATTTTAACAATGAGACTGCAAAAATAATACATATGCAGTGCCGTTCCTGGCGGGTATGCAGCGAATGCCCCGCACGCAGGCGCCCAATTTAAGGGGCGCCAAATTCAACTATTCGAAAAAAATCAAATTATAGCAAATTATTAAAAGTCAAATTATTAAAAATCAAATGATAGCAAAGCTGTAAACTTAGATTACAGGAAGAAACAGTAAACTAATATAAGAAGTAACTTCTACACTTTGCTTCTACACTGGAATTTACATGCAAAAAATCTGTTGTCGGCGTGTCGGCACTTAAATTTGACAGTTAATGATGCAGCTAAAATCTCAGACGAGACTGTAGGTTTTTTTTCAATTATTCAGGAGCTGTTCAATTTTTTTTCTGCTTCACCGTACAGGTGGAATATTTTAAAGCGAAATTTACAAAATCTCTTTAAAATCAATGAGTAAAACTCGATGGGAAAGCAGAGTCAGAGCCGTTCAACCTCTTAGATTTCAACTTCTCGAGATTTGTAGGAGTTTACTTGATTTGATGGAAGATAATTCAAGAGACATGGATACCAAACATTCAGCAAAGGTACTTTTGAAAAAAATTAAAACGTTTAAATTTATTTGTTCCATCATTATTTGGTACGATGTATTGTCAAAGGTCAATATAGTGAGTAAAATGATGCAGAATCCAAATACAGTTGTTAATGAATGCCATAGAGAAATAAAAAGTCTCATCAACTACTTCACTGAAAAAAGGTCAGATGAAAATTTTGATGTTTTTGTGAATGAGGCTAAAGCCGAAGCTGGAAAAAATGATGTAGAGCAAACATTTCTTTCAATTAGGGAACGGAAGAGAAAGCGTCAATTTTCATATGAAAGTACAGACGATCCAGTTCTAGATCCAAAGCGAAAATTTAAGATCTGTTTTTATTTTCAAATTTTGGATACAACAGTTNCATTTCTTTCAATTAGGGAACGAAAGAGAAAGCGTCAATTTTCATATGAAAGTACAGACGATCCAGTTCTAGATCCAAAGCGAAAATTTAAGATTAGTTTTTATTTTCAAATTTTGGATACAACATTTCAATCCCTACAAAGTCGTTTCGAGAGATTGAAGCAATGCAATGGTTTATTTGGATTTTTGAGTGATTTTCAAAACCTAAATTCTGATGAGATTAAACGATCGTGCATAGATTTGGATTTGGATTTGCAAATTCACCATGAAGGAAATGTTTGCAAGGATATTGATGGTCTTGATTTGTACAATGAAATTTCATCATACAAAATCCTTAACCCTGTCAAAGACTCTCGCAATACCTCAGACTCACCCATAGATATTCTGCAGTCTTTGTTTCCAAACCTGTCTATAGCATTAAGGATATGACGCTGCCGATTTCTGTTGCGTCTGGCGAAAGGAGTTTTTCAAAGCTAAAACTTTGAAAATCTTATTTGAGAACTTCGATGTGCCAGGAAAGGCTTTCAGATTTAGCTGTTATTTCAATCGAAAATAAAATATGTGAAGCCATCGATCACAATGAAATGATTGATGAGCTTGCATCTGCAAAAGCAAGACGTTTTATGTTCTAAAACTACCTTGTTATTTGATAATTAGGTACTTAGGTATTAGACAGATCTTGCACATTTTCAAGTTAGCGGATTTGTTTGCGTTGAGCGGCGTTTGAGAGTTTTAACTCAATTCACTCAGTTGAGTGAATTGAGTTATATTAGATTTTTTGTTAATTTATGAATGGACGTGTTTTATTTATGACCTATATTGTACGTTAATAGTCTATTTTATTTGATGTCGAAAATAAATTTTTTGTCATATTTTTTCGTTGTTTTATTTTATTACGCCCATTTTCATAATCAAACACTTACACTAAAGTGACTTTAGTCTATAAGGAAACTATTCAGTTTAAACCTCAAACTAAAAATGATTATGAAAATTGGCCTTATCATCAAAATTTAAGCATAGTATATAGGGGCGCACAAAATTATTCTTGCACGCAGGCGTTCGCCACCCCAGGAACGGCACTGCTGATTTCACTGTAAAGCCATATATTTTTCAGCAATTACTGTTGCAGATTTCTAAATGATCTTTCTTAATCCTGACACGTTCAATCAGATATTATTGTGTATGCATTTTGAATTGTGCATTTCAATAAAAACTTTTTTTAAACAAGCATTCGATTTGCTCTGATTTTGTTTTAAACACTAAACATACCAATGACTTTACAATACAACATATAATAACTGGTTTTTTGACCAGTTACCGTATGTTTAGTGTTAACAACTTGCATGTTTTTTTTTTTGTTTTTTTAAATTCAAATTGCACTCGCAGTATTCNCAATATACTCCAATTGGAGGCACCTTTCAGTTAATATTTCCCAACATGAAAATAGTATGGAACATATGAAAGGGGCTCAAAAATGGCACGAATTAAAATTGCGTTTGAGCAAAGATTGCACAATTGATAAAGAGCAACAACATCATTACGAAAATGAAAAAAGACGATGGCGTGCAATTATCAAAAGAATGATTTGTATTGTGCAATATTTGGCCAGTCAGAATTTAGCATTCAGGGGTGACAGCTCTAATCTTTTCGAATCAAATAATGGTAATTTTCTCAAACTGGTCGAAACGATTGCCAAATTCGATCCGATTATGATGGAGCACCTGAGCAATATTCAAAGGTCTAAAGAGTTGAAAAAAAACATGCCCCATTATTTAGGCAATCACTTTCAAAATGAATTAATCCATCTATTATCAAAAAATATTCGCATAGAAATTTTGAACTGCCTCAAGAAAGCAAAATATTATTCAATAATTTTGGATGAAACTCCAGATGCTAGTCATGTTGAGCAGTTGACTTTCATAATTCGCATTGCTCATTTTTCTTCAAATGAGGTTGAAATAAGAGAACACTTTCTGGGTTTTTTTAAAGTTTTGGATAGTACAGGAGAAGGGCTTTTCAATCTGTTGAGAGATGAGATACTTCCAACTTTTGAAATTGACTTTCTTAATATGAGAGGTCAGGGTTCTGACAATGGCGCAAATATGTCTGGGAAGCATGTGGGCATTCAAGCTCAATTTAAAAAAGTTAACCCGAGAGCTATTTGTTTGCTTTGTTGTGCTCATACATTAAATTTGACAGTTAATGATGCAGCTAAAATCTCAGACGAGACTGTAGGTTTTTTTCCAATTATTCAGGAGCTGTTCAATTTTTTTTCTGCTTCACCCTACAGGTGGAATATTTTAAAGCGAAATTTACAAAATCTCTCTTTAAAGTCAGTGAGTAAAACTCGATGGGAAAGCAGAGTCAGAGCCGTTCAACCTCTTAGATTTCAACTTCTCGAGATTTGTAGGAGTTTACTTGATTTGATGGAAGATAATTCAAGAGACATGGATACCAAACATTCAGCAAAGATACTTTTAAAAAAAATTAAAACGTTTAAATTTATTTGTTCCATCATTATTTGGTACGATGTATTGTCAAAGGTCAATATAGTGAGTAAAATGATGCAGAATCCAAATACAGTTGTTAATGAATGCCATAGAGAAATAAAAAGTCTCATCAACTACTACACTGAAAAAAGGTCAATTGAAAATTTTGATGTTTTTGTGAATGAGGCTAAAGCCGAAGCTGGAAAAAAAATGATGTAGAGCAAACATTTCTTTCAATTATGGAACGAAAGAGAAAGCGTCAATTTTCATATGAAAGTACAGACGATCCAGTTCTAGATCCAAAGCGAAAATTTAAGATCAGTTTTTACTTTCAAATTTTGGATACAACAGTTCAATTAATAAAATACTGAAAACCTTACTTTGAAACAAATGGGTATGTTTTATATGTCCAGTACGGAGTCCCATATCTGAACATCTGTTTACTGGAAATGTCTATTTTCTTGACACTTTCAAAATAAATGATTATCGATTACTTTTTTGAGGGAAATTTTCTTTTTATATCTGAAAATTAATTATGTTTTAATCAACACACCAACAAAGTTATTGAAAAGACAAAGAAAATAGTAAGAATAATTAACGGTACTAACGGTAAGAATAATTAACGGAAAGAATAATTAACGGAAAGAATAATTAACGGAAATTCGATGACGCTGCAACCTTTCATCTTGTCGCTGCAATAGAAGTATCCGTAAAGGCACATGATTTCAGTAATCGAAAATGAGCTTTTTGAAGTGTGTGCGGTTTATTTATTGTTGCAGCGAAGAATGAACTTCAGTTAAATGGAAATCATACTGCATTAGTAAGCTAGACGATGAAAGTTTCAAACATTTCAAAGTGAACCATAAATACAATCCTTATAGATAAGGATACTGAAACACACATGCAAAAAATAGAGAGATTGTGCGCCAGAGAGAAATGGCGAATTAAGAAGCACAGAGGAACAACACACCATCATCTTGAAGTTATCTTGCATAATTTATGTGGAGAAGGCAAACGGAAGCCCCCTTTGAAAAAATTTTAAGCGGTATTAAAATGTTTATGCTTCCGAAGTAAATATTTTTTTTTAACCATTTATTAACTGTTTTTTATGTGTTGCAGCCAATAAAGTCTGCTTTGTGTGATTTGTTCCGGCGACTCTGTGCTGTCACCAAAAAGTCTGCTTGGCGACATTTGCGCCGGTTTAATGGAAAAGTACTTAATTAACTATTAATACTAATGAAACTTTTCGTTAATAGTGTTGAGATTTGTTTCCCTTTAAATTATAAATGTTTTTACTAGCAAAACTTCTCCAATATTTACATTTTAATCCTTTATGCTTTGTAGTCTTAAAAGCATAGCAATAATAAATATTTTGTTCTAAGATGCAAACTATGCAGGTAATGTTTTATAATAATGTAATAAATTTTATAATTTTTAAAAAACATGTACACTAATACCATCCTTTATTATTTTAGATATAGATGCTAATAACAATTCATTTTGTGATGAACTTATTACTGCAATAGGAACGCAGACTGATGCCATTCTTCAATCAGAAGCATTTGTTCAGACGGATAAGGATGTTATCGAAGAATTGCAACAAGAAAATGCCACATTAAAGAAAAGAATTGCTGAGCTTGAAGCTGAGAATACGTTGATGAGGAAAAGTTTCACTCATGTGCCAGTCTATGATACAATCACGACCAAATCCAATAAAACATTCAAATTTTATACGGGGCTTGAAAATGTTATGGTATTTAATTGCTTGCTGACATATTTATTATCTGCTTCGAAGCCACAACATAAAAGTTTGCAGCCTTGCGAAGAATTCCTTCTTGTGCTGATAAAATTGAGATTAGGTTTGCTTAATCTTGATTTAGCAACAAGATTTAACATCTCATTTTCATCAGTTAGCAAGATTTTTCACTCATGGTTGGATGTAATGATGATCAATTTACAAAGATTAATCATTTATCCTTCCACGAGAACTATTTGTAAAAGCATGCCAAAATGCTTTAAAGATGTTTCTTTGAGCAATGTGAGCCGTAACATAGACTGCACAGAAATTTTCATTGAAAAACCGAAAAATTTAAATGCACGAGCTCAGACATATTCCAACTACAAAAATCATAATACAATGAAATTTCTTGTTCAATTCTTCCATCTGGCAATATTTGCTTTGTTTCGAAAGCATGGGGTGGCAGGGTGTCCGACAAAAAAACAGTGGTTTCCTCGATATTCTACGGCTAGAAGACCTGATTCTGGCAGATAGAGGCTTTAGAATTGATGAAATAATTAGAGCAAGGGGAGCTAAACTGCAGGTACCTGCCTTTACAAAAGGTAAAGCCCAGCTAAGTCAGCATGAAGTAGTAACATCGAGGAAATTGTCTAAAGTGCGTGTGCACATAGAAAGAGCGATCAGAAAAATCAAAACTTTTCGCATATTAGAAGGCACCCTGCAAATCTCCATGGTTAAAAAAAATGAAAAAGGAGAGTTTTCAACTGTTGATAAAGTATTACCCGTTGTTTGTTCCCTAGTCAATATTGGAAATCCCTTAATAAAAGTAGATCTTTAAATCTGAGCTTATTTCTGATTAATTACAAATTGTCATTTAGTTAGTTGGTTGGAAAAAAATTCTTTAAAAAAAGTTATTCCTCTTTGTAACGTTATGTTTCCTTCTACTGTAAATGTCATTTTCTGCAGAAGATAGGTGTTATAATTAAATTATATAAAAAGTAATATAAAAATTATGACAAATAGCAGCACCGTAAATTTTCTTTGCATTCTTGGTACAACCAACACAGGGGAAAACGTTATGTCACATTCAAGCAATTAATAAATTAATGTATTCAGTATTAATATTCAGAAAATAAAAGATGGACCATTTTATTTGAGCAATTTGAGAGTACAAATATTTCTGCACGAAAAACATAAAACAG